CAGCGTAGTCTATTATTCATCTGGGAGCTGGCTCTCTGGTTTTGGCCCTTAGTGAATATCACTCCTATTATCTAAGATCTTGACTAAGCCAAGTTCTGCTCTTTAGATTATTTTGCTATTAATAATGTCACAATAAGTGGGTGGAAGTAGCTAATGGCTCTAAGCCACAAATGATCCCAAATGTTCCCAGTCTCTACTCTCCTGTAAACCTTGACAGATTGGGAGTGCTTAGTAAAATATTGTAACACTCAACACGCATTTACAAGGCAGCGATCTGTCCCATGACGGCTTCCAGATGTGTAGTGTGTGCAATTTCATAATTCAAGAACAGATTCTATTGCCCTCTGCAGATCCCCCATCAGGCTGTTCATAAATGCTGCTCATAATTAAATTAACCCACTAACTAGCCATGCAAATTTTGATAAGCAGTGACCAAAAAAATAAAAAGAGGAAACTGTTGAGATGCTCTCAAAAAATGACAAGGTTGTCTTCAGAGATTATTTATCATTATGAGAGGATTTGTTTTTTTCCCTTCCTGTTTGCCAAATTCCACTTTGTCCCTTCATACATGACAACTGTTTTAAGGCTTTAATCTAATAATTAGGAGCTGAATTTTGCCACCCTTACTCAAGCTGTCTGCTGTCTTACTCTCTGAACAGCCTTTCTGGAATCAAAGCAAGCCACTATTCTGTGTGTGGGTAGCAGGATGGGGATTTAGTTTTTAAAATCCAACTCATGCCCAGCCCAAGTAGCAGTGAAAGAACAAAAATATGCACACGCACACTCACTCTCAAGCCGAGGAGAAGAAGCTGCATTTTATCTAGCCCTCCTCTGACCTCGGAAGGGAAGAGGGGGACTTCAGCAAAGATTTCACAAGGGATGCTAGAAATAATGGGCTGTTGTTTTTTGTCAGAAACAATGGCTCACAGCTCTGACACGTGAGATCTGCCTGTAGTAGTATCCAGGTTCCCCACAATAACTGTGCTATATTAATTTGAAAAAGAGCTGGAGTTATTACACCTGGTTTATATCTAGGGCTGAACAATATGTCCTTATACAGTAAAGTGTTAGCTGAGGGAGGTGATTTGGGTGGAGGCTGAGTGCGGAAATGGAGGCCAGATAACAAAAGTAGAAGATATATATATATTTCTATGTCATTCTGAGGATTCTTTGGTGAAGTAGGCCCACTAGTTCATGTAGATAACTGTTCGGGCAGTCCAGGCCAGTTATCCTTATGCATTCTGAGTTTCTCTGGCATTGCCAGCTCCTCAGACTTTGCCACATGGATGTCAGGAGTTCTTCTTATATTTGAGAATCTTGGCTCCAAGAAGTGGAGGTATAAAGCTGTGCCTATTAGACTAGGACTCAGCTTTTGTGTTTTTGTGTTGTACAAATCCTAGGGTTGTTTCCATACTGTTTTCTCAGTTCAACTTAGTTTTGCCTTTGCTGTTCACGTTTACAACTCTAAACCTAAGGGGGAAAACTGTAAGTATTGCTTCAATATAAATGATAACTACTGAGTATTTTTACTTTAGTGAATTCTATACAACCGCAGTGACTTCACTGGGATTACACGTGCTTTGCTTAGGGGCGGATATGGTTCAGTGGATGTAATTAAAAAAAAAATTAACTGCTCGTTTTTAAGATTGGCTTTACTTGCTGCCCGATACATTTGTTAATTATTGGGTGGAATACTCTAAATTGCATCATTTTGCAATGACGCATAATGCCTCTGTGTCTATTAATTAATTAAGCTTCATAGTTCCTTGTGAGGTAGGGAAAATACTTTGAAGCGTTGTGATTCGAGTGATATAATCCACGATGATGAATAAGCCAAGCCCAGATACGCGCCATGTTCTCATAGTGCAGGCCTGGGAGTGAGCAAGGGGCTTTGCAGCAGCCTCCACAGGCACAGGCAATTTTCATTGTATGTGTGTGAAACTCCGCTCCTCCCTAAAGGAGAAGGTTAACATATGTGCAGATCTGGGAACGATTCAAGAAACAATAAGAGGATTCCCAAATGGGATGTGAAGCGAACAGCCCACATGCCAAGTGTTAAATCATCCCCGTGGCTGCAGCACAGAGACAGGGGAATGTCAGGGCTGTTGTGCTGGTGGGCTGGGGCCTTTCCAAACGCAGCTGCTGGAGCAACCTGCCTGCTCCACGCAGGTACACGGGGCTGTCTGCTCTCTGCAGACTTCTGCTCGCAGATTTCTCGTGTGCAGGATGCTGAGGTCCAGTGGTGCAACTCTTCCAGGCCTTGCTTGTCCTGAGGTGCTTGGTGAGAAGGCAACAAAGCTTTAGGGCTTTGCAAAGACCTTGTAAGGAACTTAAAGAGAGCTTGTCAGCAGGAAGTTGTTGGCAGCCAACAATTAGATAAAAGGACTTCCACTCCCTGCCTTCTAATACTATAGACAACTGTTCATCACTTATGTTAGTCCTCAAATGAAGTCTGAAACATCTTGGATGTGTCTGACCATCTTTTAGTCTAGCTGTGAGCTACATTATTTATTTTGATTCATGGAAACATGAGTGACTGGTTTATATTAGGTCATGGCTGTGGGAGAGGCAAAAAGGAAATGTTTTGCCATGCTGTAGTTGCCTCAGTTTGGCTGCTACACTGGACTGAACTGCTGTTTTGGGTGATATATAAGCTTGTGGACTGAGGTTAAATTTCTCTCTGAGTTTAATGATGGGTCACTGTTCAGTACACCTGCAGATTGGGCACAGACTGATTACACCAGTGGCTCATGCACCTGGCACTGGAACAGTGCTTTCAAATGTTCAGCCACTGGGACCGCATCTTTAGAAAAGCCCAAAGTACCCAATTCTTTTTCCAAAGTCAGCTCTACTTGTATGGTCTCTGATAACATGGTCCTGTGCTCTTTTGATTCTCTGTTCAGTGCAAAGTAAGTGATAAGAGCTTTAAATGAGAATGTGATGGGAGGAGGGGGGAGAAGTAACACAAACACGGCAATGCACAGCATCATGTGAATGCAACTGCTTGCTTTCTAGACTCATGGGGAGCAAACATGGATAACTGCACACACAGCACAGTCAATTTGTGACCCAGATAACCTGCTAATAGCTGTAGTAAGTAACTGTAGCTCAGCCAGAGACTATTTCTGTCTCTCTGCATGGTACTACACCGTATCAGTTCTAGTGTCCCCGTCCTCAAGCTCCTCAGAGTCCAGTGCAGAATGATTTACGAGTTGCTCAGGGAAATCAGATTTCTGTAAGGATCATGTAATTTGCAGAGTTTGTGGCAGAAGAAACCCTAAACTAAAGAATGGTTTGGTAAATCAGAATGTGCTTGGCTTTGGCAGGGTGGATGCTGTTATGATAAAGTGGGTTTCCTGCTGTCTTTTCCCTCTCCCTCCCGCTTTACGGATCCATCAGGTGTTTCCTCCAAGGCGTATATATTTCCCATAATATTAGAATGAAAAGATGTCATTTCTGACAGGTTGTGTACATAGATGATGTCTTTATTATGATAGCGATATATACACTGATTGATTGGTAAATTTGAGGCAAGTAAAGAAAGCTTGTGAGAAGATAGTCTCCAAGTTGTCAAAATACTATTTAATCACTGGCCTAAATATTCATTATCTGAGGAGGAGACCTGTGGCTAATGGATGTAATTCCTGCAGTTAGCACAGGGCTGCACAGATACACTGCAGAGGCTGAAAGTGGTGTTGCTCCCACCTTTTCCCCCAGGCTAAGCTGTCAGTGCCTGTTGCTCTTGCATCCTCTTGGGTAGTAGTGCAGCAGCCAGTGCATACAGACCTGCTTCTACCTCTGTGGTCCCTTTCTTGCCTGAAGAAAAGGTTTTTCAGCACCTTCCTCCATCTGGTGTAGCTTGCATCTCGCTTTGCATTATCTGCCACTTGTACACATTAAAGGTGGCGCTTGGGCTGGATCTGCTGTTCAGGTAAGGAGTCCTAAAAACCTAGTACCAGTGTCAGCTGGGCCGTGCAGGGCATGGCTGGATCTGCCTTGCAAGCCCCGTGATGAATGACACCTTCCCCTGGCAAAATCCCTCCCCCTCTCCTCTGTTAATCTCACTTCACCCGATACTGCACAGACAAGATAAGTATGAGCTGGACAAGAAAAAACAATGTCAGGACCAAATACTTGTCTGGTCATACAGCTTCGCTAAGGCTGTTGTGTTCAGCACACATTGTAATCCTGGTTGGCAAGTCTCTTCTATCGCTGCTATTTCAGTTACAGAGTGATTAAATAAGCTTTGTTCCTAAGACAACTGTTCAGGGCTGCTTCTACCTACAGTAAAGCTGGAGAGATGGTGCTGAGCAAATGGTTTATCCAACGGATTCCAGGTCTTTTCCATGAGCAGACACCAGTTCTCTCATAACTCTTTGTTGTTCAATGTGAGTTTCCCCAACAATTCTTGATTTGCAGCGGTCCTTTGGAACAGCTTGATATCTGAGAAGCGTCTGATTGAATGGCTTTTGTTTCACGTGGCCTTGGTGCTGCTTCTGGACTAGCACAATGCTCACAAACAAAGCTATGTATCTGAAATTTGCCTCTAAGAATATCCAGCAATATGGGCCTAATTTGCGTTGTTGAAGACAAGGGAAAAATTCCTCCTGACTTCTTCTTGCTCTTAATCAAGACCATGCTTATATAAATATTGCTTCAGTGAATGTCCCTACTGAAGAACTTATTTAAGATTATCTTAGGGACCAAGCTCAAACAGCCATAAACATCACAACCCATACAATAATTCAATTAAATTCTTTACAGTACATTATTCCATATGTTTGTCCCACTTAACTGACATTGACAAAGGAATTTCCCCACTGTATAACCCCTGTGACTCATACATCGTAATTTTTCCTTGCCACTAAGGGAGCTGAAAGCTATGATGTAAATAAAGAGGGCATCTCGGCAGCAGCTGGAGGTGTTATCTCGACTTGGATAAGCTGTAGCTGCTACTGCTGAGAAGTTGTTCTGTAGCTAAGTTGCTTTCTCTGTTGCAGGGTTTTGGATGTCCAAGGAAAGGAGAACAGCAGAGTCATCTTAGACCCAACAGGAAGGTTCCACTGGTGTGATGCTGTTCCGCTGCAGGAGGCTCTTCTGGTAGGTGTGGGGTGATTGCCTTCAGCGTTTTCATGTGTCTTCCTCCTCATTCTCCTCAGAATAAACCTGGGCTTCAAGGCCTGGGTGGAGGGCACAGCTCTCTAGTTTACTGTTTATTTAGCTGCATTCTCTTGGCTGACCCTGCCCTGAAGGAGAGAGGCAGAGCCCATTGCCCCCTTTCTCAGGCGTGAGTTGCAGATAAAAGATCTTGACTAGGGTCACGTAAAGACTCTGTCAGAGTGATGGGAGCTGAAGGCTTATTCCATGGACATACTTACTACAATTTAGGTGGTAACCTGGGAACAGAGAAGGATCTCCAAGGTAACAAGGGATCAGTAATGCCTTCCGTGCTCATCTGAAGCAGGGTGGGCATCTTGTCTGAGGAGAGGATCTCAGCAGATGTACAAGGAAAGCTCTGATTGACACCTATCTTTTTCTTATATTTTGCGTGTTGTGTTTCCGTACCCTTGTGTCCCTAACACTATTGATCTGGATATCTTTAAGGCTGGTTTATTTATTTCATGTGTCTAATCTGTAAAAGAACAAATCCTATCTAGAAATGGCAGGTTGTGCTCAGAGCTGCCAGAGAGCTGAGAGTAGGCAACCAAATCTTGCAATGAGGTGATCAAAGATTTCATCAAAAATACAGAATGTTCAAGCTGTTCTGCCAGCTGGGAGACTTGTAGCAGGCTGGAATTCATGCTGCTTGAAATGCTGCAGCTTCCTTCCAAGCAAATAAAAGGACCCTATTGCCCAGCAACCTCCAAAATAGGATTAGTCATTACAAATGGGCAAATATCCCAATAGTCCTGGAAACTCGGCACTGAGAATTGAAGGGTAATGTTTTGAAAAGATCTTACAGGCGGGCTTACATGAGGAAAAGGCTTACAATTGCTAGTGTGGCCTAATTCCCCATGTGCCACTCTTGTATTGTACTTTTTGTGTTGTATTTTTGTGCAGCTTAGCTAGACTATGCAAGAGGCTCTCTGTGAAGTTTAAGAACGTCCACAAGGAAAATAAGTGCATGGTAGCTATTCCACCTCATGCTCGCGCGGTGTCTTCCTTTGCATTCGCATTTCTGGCACAGGCAAGCCCTTAAAGGCTTGGGAGGCTAAGGTGCATTTTTGGGAATGAGTTGGGTGCTTGACAAAGTCTCAGATGATGCTCTGGGTTTTGAAAAGCTATATTAGATGCCCATGCAGAACACAGGGTATCTAAACACACACGAAAATGTGATTCCTGGTGATTTTTACTTAAGGTATATATTCTTAAGTGATTTAAATGTTTTGGGGGGAATTTTAACCTTAATTTTAATAATGCATAGACGTTTGAGAATTAATATGTGTTATTTTTCTTAACCTCATCAATAAAGTAATAAATGACAGATGTAGTCAGCTTCTTGGTCCCAGGTTGGAAGGAAGGCCCAAGTCCTTCCCAGTGTCTTCAGATTTGCTAACCTGTTCCTCCTGCTCACTCGCTATACAGACTGCTCCCGTTGATCTTGTAATTGCATATTTCCTCAGCAGAGTTCAGCAGTAATAGTTTTTCCAATTGTTCCTATAGAATAAGCTATAAAATAGATTGTGTTTTTAATTGTTTAGCTTCATTCAGAAGACTAATCATTGGACTTCAGGCATGTTACATTAAATACAGCTAAAGGTTTCATTATTCAATTTAAACTAATCTAATTAGTTAGAGACAATCATTTAATTTGGTTATGATTCTAATCTCTCATCAGGAAACTTCTCCCTGACAAAGACCCTTGTTTCTGTTTGGGGAAAAAAAAAAAAAAAAAAAACAGCCAAGGAATGAACATCGCAGAGATATACTCATACTCATCCCACAGTTTCTGGCTGGTTAATGTGGACATTAATGCTGTGCCTCTGACAAGCCTGGTTTGGGGACTTGCCCATACCACCTACCAGACCTAAGATGCCAGCCACGCTAAGCAGTGCTCACTCCCCAGTACTGCATTTTTCCAGGCTAATTAGTTCATTTGAAAAATGTGAACAATTAGCCTGGAGGGGAGGGAGGGAAGACCAGGACAAAATAGTTATTAAGCTCCTAGCATGAAGCTACTGTTGTCGCTTTGTTCTATAGTTTTGTTGCTTTATGCCAATATAAATTATTTTTTTCACTTCTGTAGGATACACTTGGAATCCAACTACTTCAGGGGAAATACTTTGGTTTATATACAGTCACATTCTACCCATAGATGTTACATAGCTAAGAAATGGTTTAAGTCTCTGTAGCTGAAGAAACAAATCTAAAATCAAATTATTAGCTGTTTTACCAGAATTCTGTTTTAAATTTAGAGTTGCAACGACCAAGCAGCACTGAACCTGCAGGATCACATTTTGGTCTGCGTCTTTGGTGATGCAAACTCACCACTGATTGGGCTGCAGGACTTCGTGATGCCCTTAAGAGCTAGTAACTTCACTTACCATGAGCTGAAAGATATTGTTTTTCTTGGGTCTTTGGAATATCTGCAAAGAGAATGGAAATTTATTCAGAATTTCCCAAAGCTGTGGTTATTCTCGGTAAGAATTTTTTGCATTTTTTCTCTTCCTATTCCTTCCTTTCTCTAGCTCTCCTGCACACTTCTGAATACATTTTAGAAGTTTTTGATAATAGATAGCACAATTCAGATTCAAAAAGTACCAAAATTGGCTCAGGTTCTAGACTCCAGTTTGAGACCAAGATATTGTAGGAGAACTTTCCGTTCTTAAATACTTATTTTCTTCTGAGGGAGTCTCAGACTTCTGTGGTTACCTGCAGAGGCACCGAGAAGGTAATGGGAAATTGTCCAATGAATTGCAAATCTAGACCCGTGAGTTTCATTGTCTGACCAAAGCTGCTCATATTTGGAGGTGCTTCCAAAATGCTATTTGCCAGTTGGGTTCAAAAGAGATTTTTTGCTCATCTTTCACCTTTACTGATCCGTAACGATCAGTTTCCTCAGATTTCTCCTTATCAGTGTTTGTTTGGTTTTATCAGGGCAGTGCTCTCTGCTGTGCAGATCTGAGGGCAGTTAATGTCCGGGATTGCTCTGCTTGTGCCATTCTGTCTTCCAATACCACTGCTTCAAGCAATCCTTCCCTGGTGGACACGGAAAGCATCCTAGCCACTCTGAACATCCGATCCATGCAGGATAAGCCCAGCTCAGCCTCACTAGGTAAGTGTGTTTCCCTTTGCCTGCAAGCATGCTGATGTGACAAGAAAGAGGACTAAAGGAGGAGGAATGAAGGGGTCACTTCTCACTAGTCTGAGCCATAGCCTGTCTCTTCTGAATATAAACATGCCAATTAAAATGGCCAGAAGTCCATTTTAGCCTTGCTGGTTGGACAGCCTAGTCCAACTTCTGTAGCTACAGATTTGCAAAGGAATGGTAATCCAAAATTGCTCCTGGAAATATGCCAGTTCCTCCTGAAAATTCTGAGTGAAGCTTCAAGGTTTCCAGTAAAGAGACGGTGGTTAGAAGCTAAATGGTAACCAGAGCTGGTAACTTCTGTATTTACTCACAAAAGCATGTGTGAGTGGAGGCCCAATCCACGCTTCAAAAGGAGAAAAATAATACCTCTCCCTTGAGGCTTGAGAAGGTGGGCTCTCTGTTCCCACGCAAACAGAGCTCATAGCACAAAACTGCAATGGAAGCAAAAACAACTTCAGCCCAGTTGAATATTTATTGTGTCTCTTCCTTCCTTAATTTGGCAAAAGAGCTAAGATTTGTCCTCCTCTTGAGAATGTGGAAGTATTAATTAACTGAAGACAGGCTGAGAAATGGATGGTTCTCTTAAGTGTTTCCCCTATACTTTATTATCATTCTAGGCTTTTAAAACACCGACTGTGCCAAAGAAAAGATTAGAGTGAGGCAGAGACATTTTTTTTTTAAATAATAACTAGACAAAATAATACCAGCATACAGTGTATACTATCAGAACAGAAGAAAAATGATTTATAAGGGATATTTGAGTAAGAGGTAATTGTGACTTGAATAGATTACTTTTAACTAATGTATTTATCGCTACCTAGATATAAAGATATATGGAACTCCTTATTGATTGTATATAGAGAGGAAGTAAATAATATGTACTTATATATATATAATTTATGTTTCTCTGGAGTGACAGATACAGATACTGTACCTACTGCATCTTTATACCTATATATGGAAAAGAGAGACACTCCGGGCAAAAAGGGTATTTCATCCTATCAATCACTGTCCTACTACCCTCCAGCATTTTTTTGCTTAATGACTCATAATCATAGTACATGGTGTGCAGAGCTGTGAACTACAATGCGTGTGTATGTTTCACAGAGATGTGAGCATCTGTTCTTCAAAGCCTTCCCAAGCTGCCTTGCAGAGTTCATGCTTATTTCTCTTTGAGGTGGTAGCTTTTGGCTCGCTTTGTTTCCTTCTAGCAGAAGACCACAGGGACTTAACGCTGACATAGGTGTGACGAGTTGAATAAGCGGAGGCATGGCTGGGTAGACAATTTACGAGGCATATCACCGTCAGAACCACCACTGCCTGCATGCTTAGAGTTCTTTTTTTATTACTATTATTTTTTAAACCACAAGCATGTGTTTTTCCCTCACTTCCCTTGGGTAGATGGGCATGTGGTGAGTTGCATCAGAAAAGTAGATCTTGTGGATTTAAATCTGTTCAGCATCTTTGCTATCATGAGGGAGAGAAGAAACTTTTCTTTAGTGATACTGAAAAAACAATCAAGTTCTGTAGTGACACAGTCCCTGAGAAAGGCTATCTAAAGGAGTTTTTCTCGTGCAGAAAGAGGCTAGCAGTGAGAACAGTTAGAGCAGAGACAAGCAGACACAATTATTTGTGTATTACAGCTAACACTGATGCAGCACATCAGAACCAGTCCAAATATAAAACACCTTTCAGGAGTGAGCAGAAATCAGGGCTGCTTGGTCCACTGTCCTGGGTAAAGAAGGGCCTAGGCTTCAAAACAGGCATGGAAGGGAAGTCAGTGCTTCTGGGTTTCCTTCTGGTTTTGAGAAGGGTCAGGATCAAGTAAGAGACATGTTTTCAAAGCTTCTTCTATTATATATATTATCTATACTCTAATATTTACCTCTGAGACTTATTTAAAGCCAGATGAATTCAAGCTCACAATGTAGTAATATACAGAGCAAATTACTCTTGTTATTACACGTTACTGTGATCAGTTATTTCTGAAAGATTGATTCAAATTAGAGGGGTTAGATTCTGTTACCATTTTTACTGGAATAGCATTGTCTTCCTCTAGCTGAGAAAATACTGTATTTCTAAACCCACTCTGGTTTATCCATTTTAGGTCTTTCACTTTGCATATTTATGAGGTACCTATTGCCTAGCTCAGATGCTAGTGAGTTGTTGCTCCATAAACTGACTACAGTTCCAGTCTAATACATCTTTGGCTACTCAGTTAAGATCATTCCTTAGATTTACAGTGTTTTCTGCAGCCAGAAAAGCAGTATTCACTTACAGGATATCATCATCAATAAAAAAAGATATATTTACAAAATAAAGCTAAGACACAAGTTTCACTTCTTTCTCCAGCCAGCCACTAAATCTGTCAGTGATTCAGCCTCTGTAAAAATTAGCTCCCTCTCCTTGTATGTTCATTAGGTATGTTGTTTAAAAAAAAAAACAGCCAATTTTCTTCTTTGCTGCTGTAATTATAGGCCTGCAATCTTAGGTTAGGATTCTCATAGCAGGAGCTCCTGCTGATTCAACTGCAAGATTAAGGCTGTGTCTTGTGCTCTTACAGGGCTTTGCCTCTGAAAGCCTCCAGGCACATTACAAATGTGTGCTCCTCTAAGACAGTAAATTACCGGTTGGTTGTTGCCACCTAGTTTTGGATCAAGGTGCCCAGAATGGAAAAAGAGTGCACATCCCCACTTTCACTGTTCCAGTCCCTCCCTCCCTTCTTCCCCCCATTATTATTTTGTAGGAATTCATCTCAGAGAAGACAGAACTTTTACTGATGAAATCAATGGGATTCAGCAAATGGGAGTTCATGGGAGTCAGCAAATGAGGAGAGTTTCTGGAAAAAGAGAGGCTCAGATTCAAACAGGGAAAGGATGGCTTTGATCAGAATTTAATCTTTCTCACTCCTCCTCCCCACAATGGAGTAGGGCCACCGGTGGGTTTTAAGTTATGTAAATATTAGCAATGTAGCCAGGCTGTGCAGGTGCTGATCTAAAGTTGGTGTTAGTTCACCTCTTGCAGTGCTTAATTACAGCAAATTTTTGCTTAATTACAGCAAATTTTTCCAGTGAAATCTGCATTTTCCACCAGTTCTGTACGTGTGGAGTGGGTGCTTTCAGCTGCAGAGTTACAAAATCAGCAGGTTTAGGAAAATCCTGTCTTATTTGTAGGAGAAACATCTAGGAGGAGTTCTGCAGTAAAGGAAACAAGCAGCAGAAACGAATGCATATAGGAACACCCCAAAAGTACGGCAGTACTGTGGTTTAAAAAGAAAAGACAAAGGCTGGTGTATCTCATATAGTAGTTGTCATTGCTGCTGGGACTACAGGTGGATATCCAGCTACCTTCCCATCCAAATCCATTCTCATCTCCTGTTTTGGTGCTGTAGAAAAAGCTACAGCGTTTTGCTTCCTAACCATAGTGAACAACGTGCATTTCTACGTATTTGGATGGAAGGCCCTGAGTTCCCTTAACAGCTCAGGTGCTTTGGTAAGCATTGCAGCAAACACGGTCTTACTTCAGAGATTGTAACAAGGCACAAATCAATTGTACTTCCCGTGGTTTTAGATTTCAGTGTGAGCCTTTCACACCAACCCACCCAGGCCCGTTCTGTGCTTTACCTGCCTGATGGGGTAGAGAATTAGACAGCTCTTAGAGAACCAGACCCACACAGAGGTAAACATTCCTTACACTTGCAAGAATGAGCGCTTACTAGGGTCAGCGCTGATGCCAAGGACTTCTAGTCTTTCCCATGGAAAATTTTAGGTTTTCCAGTAATGCTGTAATTATCACCCTGTCATGTCACAAAGCAAACAGGTTGGCAAACCTAGGTACCGAACTAAATAATCTGTGGCATAATCTAAACATGTAATGGTAATTAAATCTGACAACTTAATAAGCTACTGAAATTCAAATGTACAGTAGTAATCTACAATTAAGTAATCTTTTGTAATAGCACCCTGCCAGTTTGTAAGATTTCAGGTGGAGCGCTGTGTACTGTTTCATAGCAAAAATATTGACATAAGGGAAAGGTATCCAGGCAATGATCAGACACACATTCAAATCGACTGGTACAGTACATGGAGAGGTACAATAAAGGCAATGATTCATTTCAGGCATTCAGCTGCACTGTGTTCAGAGATGCCTTGCTCTACTTGGGCTTTTTCTGCTGTTTGGAGGGGTTGTGATGCCTGACATCCCTAATGAGGTTTTTGTCAGTCCATCACCTAACCTCAGGGATAGCTGATTAGAACAATGGTCTGCCTCGGACCCTGTAGGGGCCTCCATCTCCATGATTCACTTGCAGCTCAGAGGGGAGAAGGAGCCATTGCATAGTATCTGGATGTTGCAAAGTTCCATTTCTAGCAAAATCCTCGGTGGAGTTTAGATTTCATCATTTTGAGTGCACAGTAAGTAGTGTTCCTAATACTCAGTTACCCAGATGCTGCGCTGGGTAGCAAAGGAAAAACTCAGACATAACACAAAGGGAGAAGAGATTAGATATAATCAAAACAGAAAAGGCAGATTTTGGATTGGGCTTGATTCTACTAACTCAGCGAGTTGGCAAGAACCAGGAAGGAATAAGGACACACTTCTAGGAACTTCTGGATTGCTATTTTGTATTTTTTTTTTTTCTTTTTCTTTTTGTGATGGGTTTTCAGAATTCACGGTGTATACTTTTGCCTTGACTCCTACAGCATGTGTCCCATGCAGTTTTGCAGAGCCCTCATGAGGGGGAAGGATAAAACACGACGCTGTTCCTCAAAACCCCTCTGTGTGCAAATTGGCTTACTGGGGGCTTTGGGCCAAACAACTCTGTAACCAGCACTGCTGCACCACAGAGGGTAATTATATTTCAGTTGCAATGTCAATAAGCAGCTCTCAGGAGAGTTTTTCTATTTTTTTTATTTTTTTTTGTCATTCTTTGAAGCCATGAGAGAATAAAGTAAGCCTTGGAAAAGCAAACCAAGGCAAGAAACTTTCTAAATATAGGAAATGCTTTGGGATTTTTGCATGACAATAACATTATTTTTAGGCATAGGAAAAAGATTTCCTGCATTTGTCAGTCTGAACCATTGTGTGTTAGTAGTTTTTTTTTCCCCTCCTCTTTTCTGCTTCTACCAACATTCCTCTCTCCTCATGTTGTTATTGACTGTTTCTACAGATGCTGTTTTCAGAGGAAGAGCATTGGGGAATCAATCAGAGCCATGTTATAAAAGGATCCCCATCACTACAGAGCTGAGTAAGTTATTCTTTAAGAACAAATTTCACAGAAGCAATATGTGTGCTGCATTATTTATTTACCCCAGGCCCTTTTTAGAATTCAGAGGCAGAAAGCGACAAGCACTACATGTCCAAGGAACATTAAAAGGTTTGACTTAGATGTTAATTCACTGGCTTTGAAGGAGTCAGGATGGTTTATCAGGAGAATAAATAAAACAAAGTGTTACGAAGGTCTCAGTGTGTAGCAAAACTCTGAAGCATCCATTTAGGATAAAGATAAGGTCCTTTTTTTTTCTTCTTTTTTTTTTCTTTTTTTTTCTTTTTTTTTTTTTCTGTTGGACTGGATCTCAGGAGATCTGATTTCTAGTCACGTGTCTCCCATTACCCCACCTTTTGTAACAGACTTCACTCAGGTAAATAAATCAGAATTGTATTTTCCTGGTTTCCCCTTATTTTCAGTAAAGAAATAGAAACCACCAAAGGCAGCTCTGCTCAGAGGATATCTAACTTGCCCTTTGGCTCTGCCTCCCTCTCTCTGATGATTTTAAAAAACAGAGGAAGGCTGCATGGCCAGTTTTCATCTCACAACAAAATGAGGTGAACCAAAGCCTAATTCTCTGTTTCACCCCTGCCCTTTCTGAAGCACTGGTGATGGTTCCTTCCTCTTCTCTGGATCGTGGCGGGAGCTGCTGCAGGCTTCCTAACTTGTAAAAGTGGCCGTGAAAGCACAGAGCCTTTTCCAAGCAGTCTGCACTACAAAGCTTTGTACAACAGCTGCACAGAGTCCAGTACTTGCATGGACCTGTGTGCATGCCAGGACAGCCAGAGGGTGCAGGTGTTTTACTCTAGGCCCCAGACACTTCTGCCCTTATTCCACAAGGCTCAGCCTCTCTAGCCTGTATTCATAACTGAAGCAACCCGTGGAGCTCTTTCATTACTACTCTTGGCTGTTTTTCATCTTTGTCTTCGTCTCCTGATAGCTACACACTAGGTCCATTAATTAGGAACATGTGCACTGATTAACTGATTACTAGTAACATAGCAGTCAGTGTCACAGCAGAGCGGTGTGGCTGGGCTGCCAGTCCCCAGTGACATGGATGTTTAGCTCCATTTAGAGTGCCGACACAAGAATGTAGTCGCCAAATTAGCATAGCATGTTGCTAGGCTTCATGGCTGGCCTCTGATCCATTTACTCAGGCTTTTTTTTTTTTTTCTTTCCTTTTCGATGCAATGCTGGTAAACATTATATGGGCTCAACACTTCTGGGAGGGGCCCTTGCTTTGCAGTCCTCCCCAGCTGAGCCAGGGCTAGTGAGTAGCATCAGCATCTAGCAAGTGCTAGCAATACTTCATTTCAAAGAAGCTCTGGTGTACCACTTAGTCCCAATGTGCACCTGGAGAGCTCATGGGTCAATATGGACAAAGCTGTTAGGTCCTGCATGATCCTTAGACTAAAACTCTGAAGAACTAGTGCAAAACAAACAGCAAAAGATAATGATAAGATACTGATGCCTTATCCAGAGTCACTTCAGAACTGCTGAATTTCCCAGAATGATATTTGGATATTCTCTTGCACTGTGGTTTAAACTTTTATTTGTGTTGTGTCCAAAAGTCTCAGAAATGTTTTGAGCTGGCTACTGAGGCCCAGCTCCTCTGAGAAGATATTGTGCAGTCAAGCTAACGTCTTCAGACAGGCATTGCACCAGTGTGATTTCCCTCCAGGATGTGGTGTGTCAGTGGAGGGGAAAACATCTGCAATCTGTTGACATAACTTGGATTTTAGTCATGTCAGATCTTTGACAAAATAATGAATCGAGCCCAGTCCCTTAGCACATGGATGCCTGCTCCATTTGTAGCCTTCAACAGCATAGAAATATGTTCAGAGTTCCAGGGATGGGCTAGGAAGGAAAATAACCCCAACAACTTAAAACCTGGAAGCTCAAAACAACTAAACAAAAGCAGCTGGAGCTTTCTTGTGATTGTGAATAAGCTTCCTGTAAATCCCTCTGGTAGACCTTGATCTAGACAAATGCTCACTTTTGTACCTATCTCTAGAAACAAGCTGCGAGGAATAATCCTCATGTGCCTGAAGCTGCAAGGGCTTTGCACGTTCCAAGCCATGGCCCATTTCCAGCTCGTAGCACACCGGGTGCGGACCAAAAGCCACCTGCATCACTTGGTGTGTCTGACACACTGACACAGCAATGCCACACGCACTGCTGCTGCTGTGGCTGTTCAAAACCTACCACAAGAGAAGCTAACACCCTTTGGTTGAAATCTTGACACCACTGAAGTCGAGAGGAGTTTTGCAATTAATCTTGATGGGCAGGAAGCGACGTATTCAGGAAGCTGAACAGAGCCAGCCCCTCTTTTAAAGGGGGCTGGATTATTTTTTTCCTTGAGGAGCAGGAGAGTTGTGTGTTGTCATCATGCTTGCACACACTGCTGCTTCTCCTTGCCCAAGAGTGAGGTGCACAGGAAAATAAGAAATGCTAAACCAGCCACTTTGCATCAGGCTGATGCAAGGCCAATTAAATGGCAAGCTGCACATGCGGGTTTCTGCAGGATCAAGTCCACCAAGTTGAGCACATTTCAATATGTTGAGTAGCTTCTGAATTTGTGAGCTGGTCATCGGGATTACAGGCATGTTGTAAATAGTCTTTCCTCTGGAACAGTGGATTCTAGAAACCCTTCTCATAAAGGGCCGGAGCTATGGGGGAGAAATAGCAAAATCATCTACAGAGAAATAAGACTTTTGCCAATATGTAAAAGAGAAATAAAATAGTGTGGAGAAATAAAAAGGGTCCCTTATTATGGCTGAGACCATGCTTTTCATACCCAGACTCTACAAGCTAGTCAGGGGAGTCACACTGATTAATATCAGATGCAGGGCCAACTCCTAAAGGCCAGGGAGGGTGAAATATCTGTATTGAGAATACATGGCTGAAGGATGACAGCGACACTGCGAGACAACAGGAGGCATTAATAGTATTGTGATTCTGGCTAGCTTTAGTCATCTTTAAAAATGATACACTCAAATGCCTCCTGGCCCAAGGGGACATAATAGAAATCAATCATTACTTACACAGAGTTACTTGCTCTATTTTTTAATGGTAAGACGTGGGTTCTTGATCTCAATTCCTTTCAGTCCTCCTGTCTGTCTCTAGCTGTGCTGCTGTCATTTATCAGCGCTCTTACCGGCAGCGCAGGAGTGCCAGGACATACCTAGCACGGTGAGTCGCACGGCAGGGGCCTTCTGCCAGGCTGTACTTAGGCAATTCTCTCAGTATAGAAAGCAAGTTAAAGAGGAATCACTTTCTGAGTAGGGGGAATTCTGCAAGACTGTCTCAGACAGCGAGAATAAGGTTGACAAACTAGCGAAGATCCCTGTAACAGTAGGACAGCTGTGAAAGGAACTCTAACCCCCAGTTAAACCAACAGAAATAGTAATTCTGTTAGTTCAGGAAAACGAGCAGAAGAAATTAGATTATTCCTTTCTTTTTCAAAGCAGGTAAATCAAGTTTGGTCTGCTATCTTAAAACACTCACTTGAAAAATCAGTCTTAGGCTTGTGTCTTTTGTCTCCCATTGCACAACCAGTCAGCAGCACTGACTATTTGTTCCTCTTGCCTTTTCTAATGCAGTGTGCTGTGGCTAGTGCTGGACATGGAACAGCAAGCTGCTAACTTTTCTGATTCTAGATGGCTTCCCTCTGTTGCTAAGATGTCTTCTGTTTCTTCTTTGCTTATCCAACAGAGTCTTCACCAAATGCCCAGTTCATTAATCAGGCTCCCAGCGGCAATTCTGAAATTCCAGAGCAAGATCAGCTTTCCACCACTGCTGCCCCTGCGGGAGCTATCTTCTCAGATAGCTTCTTGAATTCTCTTTTGTCTATGGTAAGTAGATGTATCACAAACTGTCATGTTTAGTGGCATCAGAGTGTTAACAAAGTGATTATCAGCCAGGGTAAACCCACTTAATCCAGCCTTAACAATGGTCAAGGCTGTGTGTGTCAGAAAGGCACGGAAAACCTTGCAGAGACTGGTGAGGTGATTAGTTACTCTGTGCCCTGAGAATTATATGTGTCTGTTCCTGTTCAAGCGACTTGCTAATCGTGGGATGTTCCAACCCCCTTCCCTGGGCTGGAAGGGACCAGCTAGTTCCAACCCCCTGCTATGGGACTAATCAGTGAGCTTCTTTGATTTCTTGGGCTGGTAGGCTCTACAGACCAAAAGGCAGCTCCAGAAGACGTATCTCAATGCATGCTCTGAGCAGCAGCAGCACTCCCTGGTTTTGATATACACGTAGAATTATTTGGAGAAACTTTTAGAGTGTTTTCATAACTCTTCATTACTTCCTCCTGCTACAAAAGGTATTTGCAGCCAGCCTGATTTATTTACTTTTTGATTGATAACATGAGGTTACAATCAGTCCCTCTAAGGGACATGCAGTCACTGAAGCCAAAACTGCTTTCAGCACGAGCTGGCCTCATGGTGGAGACTCCAGCATTGATGCTAATGGCTGAGAAGATTATGGGGACTCTGAATTCTTACCTGTTCATGCAGAGTGGATTTTTACAAGCCCGGCTGGAGGTGCTTTGGTGAGCTAGAGAATAGGCAGCTTTCACTACCATGACTTTATTGTAGCAGCATGGGCATAAACAGAACATTTAATTCTTCTCATCTGTCCATCTGGGACCTAGGTAGAAATGCACACTTAAGTTCAGATGGAAAATCTATTGAACTCGATGGGAATCTTTCAGTGGCTGTTTTCTGAAAAGGTATAAAACAAATAAAAGGTACAAAACATATGTGGACTGCCACCGATCCACAAGAACAAATCAGATTTTAAAAGAAGTGCTTGTTTTGATTCTCTGTAAGTTCCTAGCAGTGTCCTTTTAAAAACATTTGCACCATGAGGATTAGGTACATTGCACCAAAAATGCAAGAACAGAGGGAAGGTGGCGATCCCACCCTGGTGACATAATCGTCTTAAGTTGCTGTCAAACCTGAGTGATATTGTTTGTGGTGACACACCTGTGGGTGACACTTAGGTATAGTTAAGCCAGGATTTTGGCAGCAAACAGCAGTTCAGTTCATAAGCTGGCATTTCTAAAAGTGACTTCTCCTTTTTTTCTGAAAGCTCCTTTCTTCCTCTTTACCCTGATTCTCCCCATGCTGCAGTCAAGTTCCACATGCCTTGCTCTCAGCTCATGTCCAAGGGGATAGTGCTTGGGTGGCAGTTTTGCAGAAATTGAATAAATACAAAACAAATCTCTCAAAGGGATAAGCAGTCCAAAATAAGTGTGTCAAGTCCAGTTATGCTTTTCTGAGAAGGTGTTAGGGAAAGTATTATATTGCTGCTACTCACTGATATGTCAATCAGCCAGATGGTAATTAATGACTGCTAGTGTCAAGTGTAAAAGTAACTCAAGACATAGCATGACCTGTCTTAAAGGATAAAATTTCACTCAGGCATAGATTCCAAGTCTGTCCAGGAATGATCAGCACTCAGCTCTGCTTTAGAGTAGAGGGGCACCTTAAGTCACATTCAGTCAAGTCTGTAAATACAGGGAAGAAGGAGAGAAATAAGCTATTGTTTAGCAATTGCAGTATGAGGGAAAATACACATGAATGTGAGAAAAAAAGAGGAAGAAAAAAAAACCTTCAGCAGTCCAATGTCACCTCCTTGTTCTGACACTAAATATCTTTTGTAAATATCTGTGTGTGAGACGCTCAGAGCAGGAGTGCTGGATTTTTTTTTAGCTTGAAAGGCGAGTGGCAGAAGAATCTGCATGGCACAGCGTGGTCTGTGAAGTGAAATGTTACCCCTTGGACGCCTGAAGCAGAACTGGCATTTGTTTCAACCTGACTCTTGGAATGGCTGTAGGCAGAAAACAATCCAATGAGCATGGCCATTATGGCTCAGGTACTCTGAACCCCAAATTCCTGTCCTGACCCAGATGTGGGTTCGGAAGCTACACAGGATCAGCTCTAGAAGCTAAGTAGCAACAGTGACTGAAAGGGACCAAGCAGCTGCTTGGCGGAGGGAGAAGGTTTCTGCCTTTGTGTGCAAGGGCATTCCTAGGCAATGTGCTTCTCTCAAGCTGTAACCAAGCTGAGACCCCCTGAATGCAGTGTGCTCCTTCCTAAGTGCGCGCGCACCGACACACGCGTGCACCTCTGTAGTTTTTCCTTGCCTTTCAAACTCCTGCAGTGTAACTCAGCCTAGAAAGTACAGAATGAGGGTGACATGCAAATCCTATTAATTCATCCAAGTATGGAAATGCAATCCTTTTGATGTCAAAAAGTACAGCAATGATATGTTAAAGAGCTCAGCACGCTTCTGTTAAATATGTAAAGTGCAGATTCCCCTGAAGCTGTATCACTCCTGGATAACTCTGGACTATAGCTCCTTACTTTAAAAGGCTGAGAATTACTCTAACAGCATTATAGCCTTTTGCCCGACAATACGGTCAGATGTTCTTAAGCGGATTTGAGTTTAGCTTGGATTTAGTAACACCGTTCCTTCTCTGCAGCTTGTTTCGTTTCTTTGCTCAGGTGAATGCAGGTGACAGATCCCACAAAGTGGCTCTGCATAGGAAATGAGCTTTTTGAGAAAGGGTGGGAAATAAGTTATTTAGTATATCTGAACGGGGTTCAGATAAAAAAAAAAAAAAAAGTGTGAGGGGGATGCTGTGCCTTTTTTGGCTTCAAACCTGAATTTTGACCATGGTATGTTTTGTTTGTTTGTTTGTTTTTCAAAACAAATACTGAGATAAGGGCACAGAGAGGGGTTTTCATAATGCATGAGGCATCTCCAGGGACAGTTTCCTTCTGCACCTGTAGGGCTGAGCAGGGTAATTGCCCTCCTCAGCCTCACCTTGTACAGTGTGCTCCTACTCAGGTGGCATCGGAGCAGCTGCCCACTTTTCTGGCTCTCCTGACCCTTGACTGGAAAGCCTTCACAAGAAAAGAATGTTAACAGAGCTGACTCCCATTTTTGCTGTCAACAATTTTCTCATTCAGGCACAATTTAGCGTTTTCTATTAGAAGAGTGGAGGTGGGATCTTCTGGGCTCTTTGAAACTGAAATGGGCTAAGCAGGTGGTCATCCATAAATGTTGTCAGAAAACCAAACATAATTAAGGACTAATTTAAGCATACAAAAAACCCCAACACTGTGAGGTGTCTGTCTGATCACATTCTCCAGGCTTTCACTGGAAAATTTTGTTTTCCTTTCAGGAACCAAGGCATACACATTGGTCTTTGAATTTTCATGGTTTCTTCCTTCCAGACCTACTACAACCATCGCATCTTGGCTTTGCTGCAGACTTTGGTGACAAGTGGGACAAGCCCAGCACTGGAGGAACAGCTGTTGGAAATGGACAGTGGGCTGAGCAGAAGTCCTGATGACATGGTCCAAAATGTCTCCCAGCTCCGATGCAAACTGGGACTCCTACCACTGTCTGAGAGGTTGTTAACGGGTGTCACGGTGAGTTGTATCACTGAGAGGTGCTGCACGGACTTGGCTTTCACTCCTGATGTTAGTACTTCAGGATGTAGGCTGGTTGTGATTACCTGAAGCTTAGTTTCATTCAGTTGAAGTTCATAAGCCGTATTTTAAGGAGGCTGAAGATATCAGATAGCCTTATTTTATATTAGACTTCTAAGCTGAATTGGGCTGAATTGTCCACTTTGGTTCCTTTGAGGTAAGAGTATTTTTGCTTCTTTTACAGCAGGAGGACTCCTTTGGAGACGTTTACTGCAAAGCTTTAGACTTGTTCGGGATACTCTGCTTTGGGCTCTACCGGCTGATGAAAGAGCCCAATCCATACAAGAACAGGCAAGTAAAGTGCATCTTCAATTGCACTGTAAGTCAAAAGATGACTACTCATGACTGAACTACTTATTTTTGTCTTGAATTTAGACATCCTTGTAGACATTAAGGGCCATTTGAGGCAAACTGGTGTGGTCTGAACATGGTGCTGTGATTATTTCTGGAGATCCAGTGCTTACTGGCACTTGTATGAGATTCCCTTAAGTTCATTTAAAATGTGATTTATCTTTTCTTCATTAAAGATCTGCTGGAGCACTGAGTTAGTAATGCTGCAGAGGCCAGGGATTTCAGAGAGTTTGCAAGCAGAGAGAACTTTCTTTATGAAGGCAGGCTGACGGAATGGGGTTGTTCAGCCTGGAGAAGAGAAGGCTCCAGGGAGACCTTATAGCAGCCTTCAGGACCTAAAAGGGGCTGCAGGAAATCTGGGAAGGGACTCTTTGACAAGGAGTATAGTGATAGGACAAGGAGTAATGGTTTTAAGCTATAAAAGGGTAGATTTAGATTAGATCTTAGGAAGAAATTATTTACTCTGACGGTGGTGAGGCACTGAAGAGGTTGCTCAGAGAAGTTGTGGCTGCTCCATCCCTGGAAGTATTTAAGGCCAGGTTGGATGGGGCTTTGAGCAATCTCAAAGGTGTGCCTGGCTATGGCAGAAGGTTGGAATTAGATGACCTTTAAGGTCCCTTCCAACCCAAACCACTCTATGATTCTGTGATTCATCTAACCTGTTCTACTCACTGATTCTTTCAGTTTCAAGGTTTTGGTGATTGCTTGAGCTTCAGATCTCCTAGAGAGACATTTACTTTGATTTAAAGATTTTCAGCAATCAAAAAATTATCACATCTTTCAGCAGCTGTTCTAGAGACTAATTAGCTTCATTTAAATATATATATATATATGTATATGCCATTCCTAGGTTAAAAGATAGGTAAAGTTAAACACTGCACATTGTCTCATCATTCTAAAGAATTCTGCAGATGCAATCAGTCATTGCAAAAAAACCCTGCAGCTTTCTTCCTGTCCCAGGTGCTTGCTACAAAGACCTCACAAAGCAGCCTGAATCTCACATACCAGTGCTTTTTCAGGTTTGTGATTGCTCGGCCTGCCAGTGATTTGAAGATGTTGCCCACAGATCTACTTTTCTGTCTTGTTCCGTTCAACGTTGCAACAACTGATGACCAGAGAGGGGAAATGGAGAGTCAGTTAGGAAGCAAGAAAAGAGGTAGTACAGACACCTCCATGCCAGAATTATGAGTTTGCGAAACACCCTACAAATAAAGAATTGTACAAGTTATTAAGATCCCACAATAAATTTTCCGTGTTCTTATTTCTTAGGTGGACAGTGGGCAATTTGAATGTGGCTAAACAGCTTGAGATTAGTATTGAAAACAGTATTGTTATGCTCTAACAACAATACCTATCAGAGAGTAAAATGTTCTCTCTGCAAGGAAAAGGGCAAGAACTTGAATTTCTGCTGAGCACTGCACAGAACAGACCTAGCTGTATACAAACACAATGACTCCATCGAGTTTAGAGATTCCCTGCTGAACTTTCCAGTTCAAAGACTCCAGCACTCTAAAATGCAATTTTCTTGCATACAAAGCTGAAGACGTTGGATTGACATACATTAAAAGAAACATACCAAAAAAGCACAAAATCCCCCCATTAACTTATGCCATAAATCAGGTCCCGCCCTTATGTTATAAAGTCAGTTGAGGGGAAGCAGGAGAATTTTTTCTTTTTTTTTTTTTTTTCCCTCTCTCTCTCTCTCTTTCCCTCTTTCCCCTAACACTAATTAGGTTTGAAAGACTGCAGCTTGAGTCCAGATACCACATGCCGAGAAGAAAGGAACCCAAACAGCTGACGCAGAGTTCAGACTAAACTAACTGCAAGCTCCCCAGGGACATCACAAGGTAAACCTGATAGTCTCTGTCATTTACAATCATTATCAGGCAGCTGAGTCTCTGTAATTTTACTAGGGAGCCAATTAACAGATCCCTGAAGCTCAAGAATAAGGTCTTGGTCCTTTTTCTATTTTAGACAGGAAAAAGGGGAAAATAAGCCTTTGTTGCAAATCAGTACTCCAAAAGCTTTCCCACCCAAGGGAATGGTCAGATCTGGGCTTGCCTTTTTCCTCTTGAAGAGTAAAATAAAGCACTGAACTTAAGTGTCAAGCCAACTGGCTTTAGTACCCAATCTGCAACAAACTGGCTGTGTAACTTTGGGTCAGTTTTTTAACTCTCTGTATACTATTGCTGCCTACTGCATGCAGGGAAAATAATAACATACTTGTTAATTTAGGTAATTAAGAGCTTCAGGGAAAGGACTGTCTCTCGTGATTTGTTTAGCCTAGCATTAATAGGTACTGATTTAGGATGAGACATTTAGGAACTCCACTCAAACAACATGAGTAAGAAGCAAGAAAAAAAGTTTGGACCAAAACTCCAGATGGAAACATATCTGCTCTTGGGGAAGTTTGGGGTTTGGATTCAGGTCTGAGCCTTAATGTGTTGGAATCATCTTCCTGGAACAAAATAATCATACATTTTCAGTTCAGGGCAGATTGCAAGCAGGAATCAGTGAACCGTGCTTAGAGCAAACAAAATACCATAGGAAGCATGCTTTCCCATTGCCAGCCCTTTGCAGACCTGAATGTGAGCCAAGACAGTCAGCTGATCTCCTGGTAGGAGTTTTTTTGGCCTAAAATCGCCCTGTATATACAAACTTAGATAAGAATTTGTGCACTGGATTCTACTTACCCTCTGGCAGATTGAGGCTTCAATAACAGTGTCTCAGTCCATTCCCTAACATGCCTTGTTTTAAACAGACAAGGTAGAAGGAAGAGCCTGGGCAGGCTTTGCAGTCTCTGATCCATTTGCAAGCTTTAGGAAGAGCTGAGATTTCACTATGAAGGACACCTCATACTGAGACCCAGCAAGCTTTCTATCTTGTTATCTGAACCCTTCTTTATTTGCAGCTGTAAGTCAGTCTAAGCAGGGCACAGAGGAGGTAACATTTTTTTTCTTTCTTATTGTTCTGTTGCTTTTAAATATCCACACGTGCATGCCTGGACCTCTGTGTACTGATTTTAAGCAGGTCTTGTGCTATGGGGAGGCACTTCTAGTAAGAAAGTTGCAAGGAAAAACAAATCTTGTTTACTCAGAACTTTACTGAGTGGATGAGAAACTCAGACTATCTTGCCAGCAAATTCCTCTATCTGAAATCATCTGCTTTTCCTAGAAAATAGAGGCAAATGAGCGTACTCCTTCATGACTGAAATTCAGGCTGTATTGTGTTCAGCTCTAAGGCACCAAACATGGGAAATGCCAGAGCTATTACTCCAGAGCTATGTCTCATGGAGTAAAAGTGTAACAAGTGGTATGAGTATCTTTTTTTATATTTTTTTTTTCCATCAGGAAAAAAAAATGTAAGGAATCTGCAGCAAGTATATCTTTTAAATGTTCCTTGTCTCCAAGGTGTCTTAGGTGCAGGACTGCCAGTGATGACACATGCCATGCTTTTCCCCCATACATTCACACTATCTCCGTGTGTGTATGGGGGGAATATGCCTGTTTTATCATAGAGCTTTTCTAGTACATCATATTTTCAGTTGCTTTACCTGCACCTGCTAGAGCGTGTCACTTACTGGAGTAAGATGGAGCAGGGAGAGATGACAAGGTGATGAAGGGACCTCTTTCACTTTGCTTATTCCACCTTTTTGTTTAGTTGCTATCTCTGAGCAAGCAGTTCTGCTTCTCATGCGAGCAGGGGGAAAGAAATCCTAAGGAAGGTAAAAGCATTAATGGGTCAAGGCCTCCTTTGCATAATTCTATTATCACCAGGAAGATTCTGCAATAATCATGTTAGGCATGTGCTCTGGAGCATCAAAGTGACTTGTCTTACCTTACTTTTTGATGTTAGACAGGTTTAAATGCTTTGTACAGATGAGGCACCTCAGACAGCTGATCAAGAAAGCCTGTGCTGTTCAAGCAAAGCAAAGGTCTGTTTTGCTGCTTCTTCCCTTTTTTTTTAATGTCAACAATGTCACATTCTTCCAGCAAAGAATAATCTCTGTTGTCACAAACTGTGAAAAGCAAAGGTGTAGGAGAGAATCTGTGTCTGGGTGCATGCAAACACGCTTTCTGAAGCAACCACCTTGATTCTTCAGCAACAAGATCTTGTATATTGGTTGGGTCATATATTTATATACCTCTTGTATTAAAAAGTTCAGCCTCTGCAGTGAAAACCACTGTGGTACACAAAGCTGATACAGGATCTGTGCACTGTAGTTTGCTAACCTGTACCCCTTCTGAGCTGTGAAGGTCACTTCAGTGTGTGGCTAGGAGTTAGTGAGTTTTACATGTATTTTTCAGCAGTGCTAACAGAGTCTCCATTTGAGTTCTGAAAATGTTGTGCTGGTTACAATCAGAAGTGAGCCTAGGTGGTGTATACAAGGAGTTACCAGGGAAGTGAGGAGTTGTAGTTCATTCAAAAGCGTATATCAGATCTGTGACAAAACCAAAGCCAGAACCCAGGTCTCCTGATTTCTAGACTAGCATCTTTCCCACAGGGCCATTTTGCATCTCGGCTTTCAGATGTCGGCTCCTGATCCATGTGCCTATCAGGATCATTCCCTTGCCAGTCTGACGAGGGATTTAACAGTCATTTCCAGAGGTGGCAGGAGGGCTGCTGAGATAGTCTTCATGGGGCAATGCCTGATGAACTGTTTTTCCATGTGCTGTGAGATGGGCAGCCTCTCTAAAGAAGCAGGGAAGTATCACCAGACGGGAAGGTTCCTCCCCTGGGGTTAGCCGTGCCCTGTCTGGCTCGTCACCTGGGGCACTGTTGGTTCAGGCAGGCACACGATGAGTGCAGCCAGAAACCTCTCCAAAGATGCACGCAAGGGTACGTAGGCTCTGCAGAGACCTGGACTTGCTAAGGCATTTATCCTAACACATGCATCCACCCGGATCTGAGCACCGATAAGGGCACGCACACACAAACCTCTGCAAAGAGCATTTGCCCCTAAGGAGATGAATATACACATCGAGGCCAGGATTGTTGTGCTCCCTCCTCCTCCTCCCTGTAGCCAAATCCAATCCAGCAGAATGAGAAGTGAGGGATGTCACTGCGGTGAGCTGTGCTGGGTTTGCAGTACAGCATGTCGCAGGTGGTGACTGACACATAGTCAATGAGATCTGAGGAGAATCCAGACTCTATAAATGTTAGATGAGGCAGGCTGGGCATTGACAAAAACAAGAGGTGGCTGCAAACACCGAGTGTCATTATTCTCTGAGCAGGGATGGCGAGGGGCCTAGGATCTTCCCATGGAGATTAACTGCTCCGCAGCAGGATGAAGTGCTGTCTCCTGATACACGGGGCTATCTGGTTGTCCTGAGAACACTTGGCAGGAAGGGTACGACAGCAGGAGCTCAGCCTTTGAGAGCATGCACACAGTTTCCTGTAAAGCAGGTATCTTGTCTGAGATAGGATTTTACTCTACTGAGATAAACATAAAATACCTGATGGTTTAAATTAATGCTGGAAGAGAAAGCAATCTCTCTTACTCAGTAATTGGCAGTGGGCTCTCTAGCCCCCTTCTGCTGAGGGAAGGGCTCTTTCCTACTTTTCTATCCATCTGCTTCAGCTTTCTGTCTTGACCTGCCACCAATGTACCATAAAACCCCGGTCTCATCCCCCACCATCTCTCTAGTGACCAGTTATGAAGGGACTAGAGCAGGTTAACTGCTGATTGCTTCCCTGCTTGCAGCAGGAGGCCATGCAGAGTGAATTAGGTGAGCAAACTGTATTAAGCAATCTGGAAGTGCATCATTAATGCTTTTTTTTTTTTAATTGAATAAGTCCATACCTTGTTAAAAAAAAAAAAAAAAAAAAGGAAAAAAAAGTACTGCTGTGGCTTGGTCTTGTGAATCTGTAAGATATTTATCTGAGTAGTTGACATTTCTTTTTCTGTTTCTCTCATCATCTGCTGAACACTCGCCCAGTACTGGAGAACCAGTTCTTACACTCTTCCACGAGCCTCACACTTGCTGGAGATTAGCATTTTGTCTCCACCAGCATGGCTTGTATTCTGTCCTTGCTTATCCAGGCAACTACAAAAAAAAAGAGGCAGAAGTCCTAAATGCCAGACTAATGCATCAATCATAATTCCTGAGCTGCCAGCAGTCATGTAACTGCTTAAAGACCTCAACAGCCCTCTGGCACTTAAAGAAAAAAATCATCTAATTAATCACAGGTGAAACAGCTTGGACCTGCTCCAAAAGCCCCTGAATTTACTGCCAAGCTTTGATGCTAATTTTCCTTCTAAGTAACCCCCTAAAGAAATTTACGATTAGGTAATTAAAGTGATGAATAAAGAGATACTTAGAAGAAGGAGGGAAATGAAAAAGAAAAAGGAAAAAAAACCCTTGAGTCAAATGCCTTAAATCTCCTCCCCTCCTCAAAGAGAAACGTTAGTCATTTTTGCACATGCATTGTCTCTGAAAATTGGGTTGGATTCCCACAGGAGACTTGAGAAATATTCCTTAAATTAATGTTTGCATAACCAAATAAAACAGAAAAGAAGGGACTCCAAAACAGATTGTAATGTCAAGATGGTTGGGGAGGAACTTCCAGCTTCTCCCTGAGAACCTCATGCTGCACAACTTTTGTCAGAAGCTGCCTCATGCCTTTCCCACCTCTGTACCAGAGGTGAACATTCTTAAAGGCAATTAGATATGTAGGTGTGCAAATTAATTTTAAAACGTACTGATAGCTAACGAATAACTTGAGAGCAACTTTTAAAGTCTGGCTGTAAGTTCTTAATAGGACACGAACACAAAAGGTAAAAGAATTAAAGTAATGCTTTGCAATGTCCTCTCACGTTCTTCCATTTTCTTCAGAGGGGGAACTA